CAGCTTAGATTCTGTCTCATAGTCTTGAACCTAAGAGTGCTGTATTTGGCTAAGTTGGTGAACTTCAAAATTTTTGTTTGTGTTTCTCCTAATATAATTTAGAAAACCTGTGTGTCCTTTGCACATTTTAAGGATGACATTTAAAATGTCTCATCATAAGTTTATTTTTTGTCAATGGGAGATGGAATACATTAAACGTTCTATATGTTGGAATAAGATGAGAACTGACTGTAACTGGAATATTTGATCAAATAAGTTTTAACCACCTTATTCAATAGTGCACAATGCATTCAGAAAGAAATAATGTAAATGTTCTTCCCCCCGACCCCGGTGGGTTTTAGCCATTGTTTCTTTAAAAATTTGGTAGTCTGGGAAACTTGCCAGTTATATTGAAAGAATCAGCGTCACGGACCCAATCTGCTTTGGTGGTTCTAAACATTGAACACCCTAACGAAGGCTGGGCCTCACTCCTAACAGAAATCTATAAAGCATTGGAAAAGGTGGGAAGTCCTATGAGTTTAAAGTGCCTCGATCAATCAAAAAGGAGGATTCCTTAAAACTAACACAAAAGTTCAGATCCTTTCTTTGTCCCCCATGCCCATCAGTGCAGCCTGGTCATCTCTCTGGGATGGTGGGGTGGGCCTTCCTCACGTGCAGTAGAAAAACGGTGCTTGAGATGGCAAACATGCTCAACAAGTGTTAGTGCATGTTTGTAAATTAAGGATTTGGAGATTTATTCTTTTAACTATCTGGGCAGCAAACCCCTTTAAAAATCTTTTTGTTGCAGAGCTAAAGGATGGGAGAGAACAATGGTATGGTAAATATTATGCAGTGACCTGGGGAAATGGACAGGTACATGGGCAGGCGAGGGTAACACCCAAGGGGGTCTCCCCTCCTGTTCCTATTTGGGACTCTGACAGGAGCTCACCTTAGAGTATTTCCATATCAACCTGGCTGCAATGTAAACTTGGCAGGGCACGCACTTAACACATTAACTGCCATGTGAGTTGTATTTAACTCACACTAATTTTGAGCCTGGGGCTGCATGAAGCATATGCTATTCACATGTCTATTAACCTTGGGAGCCTTGAGAACTATTTTTCAAGCTGCATATAACTCATGCACAGAAAACAATAAAAAATAACAAATTTTTCATTAAATTAAAAAGGATCATTTTGTTTTTGAAGTTTTTATTCTATTTTCATAATAAAACACTGTGGCCCCAAGGAAAAAAATTTTTTCTAGTGTGTTAGTCAATGAGTTAAACTGATGGAGGCCCTGACATGTGGTTTTGCTAATCCACCTTTGGTTTTTGTGTGGTGTAGACAGGATTCAGAAGTGGAATGCTTGGCTGGAGAGCTTTCCAGATAGAATTGCCATAGGCTTGTGTCACTCAGGAGGATGCTCTAGACAGGAGACTGCCTATGCTAGAGATACCTGGAGCTCATGGCCAGAACCCAGGAGGTCCAAAGCACCAGCAGAAGCTGAGGTGAGGTTGTGTCTCCCAGCAGACATTGCCAGGAGCAGATAGGCTATGAGTTTCAACAGCCATGGGCTTTGGCTCTTGCCAGCCAGGTATCCAGCAATCAGCTAGACTAATAACATTTTCTCACAAATGGGGAAGCCAGAGAAAATGCAAGGGATGAGACATGGAACAAATGTCTTTTTTTCTCCCCATTCCACAAAGCTCTAGGAAGGAAGGAGAATTCCTCGAGACTAAACATTTTTATCCAAGAGAGACTGAACACTACCTAAAAGTCCTGTTTATATTTTTGTATCAGTCTCAATCTAAATCTGGACTAGACACATTTATATTTTTCCTCTTGCCAACCAGCACATAGGGACTTGGGAGGAAGATGACCAAATTAGTCATAGACAAGAAAAAGAATTGCAACTTTTCTCTGCACATGGGAGTTGTGGTGTGAGTTAAATTTATCACCCTGCTAGGGATACATAATGCATATGGATAACTATTTCCCTGACAATAGTAAAGGAGAGAGAAGGAGTTCTCCCAACACAGACATTTAATTTAGCTATTTGTCTGCCTGGATTAAAGGGCAATTTCAAAGTGTAGTCATCAGGCTCCAGGTCCCAAACTGCATATTCATTTGACGTGTAAGGAAGAGAAAGTGAAGAAGCTGGTAAACCCTGGAGGGTTTAGGGAGAAGTTGTCAGGGTGGTTTAAAGCATAGTAGCTGTGGAAAAATACACTCACAAATACTTTCCATTTAGGGCAACACTTGCCTCTGTGTGTGTGTGTGTGTGTGTGTGTTTAAACACAGAGATAGAAAAAGTGAAAAAATGACTAAACATGACACATAAGTTTTTGTTACAGAAAACCAAAATTAAGAGCCAATATAAGGAAGGTGTATATTGCTAAAGGAAGATGGAGGGGAAACTGACATTTATTGAGTACCTTTCAGAAGCCAAAGATTGTGGCAGAGACAGGGGCTTCCCTATACTAAAAGTGGTGAATTTGACTATGATTCACCTTTTGTCACATAATTAATGAAAACTTACAGAAAAAAAAAATCTCCAAAGAACTTTTTCTCTTGTTACTG